TCAGAAGCAGCACAATCATCATCAACACCAGCATCATCATTAACACCATACTCATCATCCGTATCATCAGCATCACCATCCGCAGCAGCATCAACATCCACCGCCTCGTCATCCTCATCATCGTCATCCATCATCACCAGCATCAACATCATCATCATCATCAGCATCATCATCACCAACATCAGCAACCACACCGTGATCACGATTGCTCATCATCTTCACCGTCATCAAAGCATCATCATCATCATCATCATCATCATCATCCTCATTCTTGTCGTCAATATCAGCCGTAGCAGCATCACTCTCTCTCTCTCTCTCTATCTCTTCATCCGTTCCCTCCTCCTCGTCCCACAATTCCTTCTCCGCCTGCTGCTCCTCCTCACCCGCCTCCACCCACTCACATCTTCGTCAAACCCCTCCGCCTGCACCTCCTCCGCCACCTCCTGCTCGTCCATTCCTAAGCCTGTGCTCGCGAGAACAATCCCGCAGAGATCAGCAAGTTCGGGGTCCAGGAAGGGTAACAAGTACTTCCACAGAGATATCGGTGTTAGGATGTCTGGATCGGTCTCCAAAAACCTCCATGATAGACCCTCCATGATCCTCCGTGAGGGCTTACCTGGAGATGTGGGAGGAGCACAACTCATTTGGAATACGATTGCGAACTTATCCATTACTCCCTCTCGGGGCGCCTCCTTGGAGATGTCGGATGAACACAATCCTGTGAATTACTACGGTAAAGCGGTACATTGGATCCTTTCGGAGGGGCTCCCTGGAGGAGATAGGAGAAGGAGGAGGATTTACGAAGCAACTCTAAGCTTCTGGCCTATCAAGATCTATGTGTAGGACCACTGAAGCTCAACATTTCAAAAGCTTCTGACTGATCAGGAGCAGCAAGAGCAGGAGGAGGAGATGGAGGAGGAGCAGACAGTTCTTTTTCGCGACAGGGTCTTTCTGCAGAAATAAGCGTCTTGCTTGAGACATCTTTGGATGTTAAGAGCTGATGGTCGTAAGCTCGGCGAATCTGCGAACATGGGTGCTTCGCATCCTCACTCACATGATCATACATATCACTCATGGTGCGATGCATGCTATGGAAATCAGAGCTACGATGCGGACTTTGGGGATGATTACGAAGCTCGCCCCCCCGCCTGTCGTGGCAACTTCAACCATATGAAGCCCAGGGGCGATCATATATAATGGGTTAAGGGGGGGATTATTTACTCTCGTCGGCATGCGCTTATTCTCCACTGGCGCCATCGGGGCTGCCATACTCACGGGTCTTGTTCCAGCCCCCTGCAATCCTGGTCCCGCCGATGCTGCGGCACACCACCACGGTGTGGAGGATGGCCCGCATCGCCTCCTTGACGTGGCAGTTGGCCAGCGTGAGCTCTGGGCAGACGATCTCCTCAACGTTCAGCATAGCCGCGCTCCCGACGCCGAGCTGCGGTCAAGGGCGCTCCTGCGCGCCCACATTGCAGGCCACGCAAGCATCCGCCTGGACCGGGACGGCTGCCTCGGGCGCGGAGCGCGCGCAGTGTTGTGAAGGGGCCCAAAGACACACAAAGAAAGACACACACATAACCGGATTCCCCATGCTTTCCCAATGTTTTGTGATTTTCGTCTTCCCCCCACTTCCCATATCTTCGCATATTTCCATGGGGATCGACGCCGTATTGTGTCTGTGTGTCTCTTCCCCTCCCGATGTTGGCAAGACACGGAGAGAGAGAAAGAGAGAGAGAGAGAGAGAGAAGGAGAGAGAGAGAGAGAGCGCGCAGGACTGCGCGCCCCACGGCCGCAGGGCCCCGAAGAGGCGACGGCGGGGAACGCGAGGGTCTGCACCTGCTAGGACGAAGCCAGGTCGAAGATGCCATCGGGCGAGGATATTCCAAATCCCTAAGGGTCTGCACCTGCTAGGACGAAGCCAGGTCGAAGATGGCATCAGGCGAGGACATTCCAAATCCGATATTATCGGGGATGGACAGACACCCCTCTAGTAAAACGTGGTTTACCGAGAACGACCTGGGGCCCAAACCTTGCGGGCACAGGCCTGGAAAATGACGGCCGCGGCGCCCTCTCGAGAACCGAAAACGGACAATTCACTAGTCGACGTGTCACTGTTGGGGGTTCTGTCCACCTCCGAAACGCGAGGGTCTGCACCTGCTAGGACGAAGCCAGGTCGAACATCGCATCGGGCAAAGATATTCCAAATCCCTTATTAATCATCCCCCGGGTCCGGTTTTTTAAGGCGCCTTTTTTGTAATTGGGGGGGTCCCGTGTATTGGGGGGTTTTCTCTTGATTGGAGTTTCGGGGGTCTGGTTTATTAAGGCTCCCCGTCGAAGAGGGGGGTCCGGAATATTAGGTCGCATTATTTGGAGGGGGGTCCGGTTTTTAGGGGGGGGTCGATTAATAAGGGATTTGGAGTACATCGGGAATCTGCAGGATCCGGCGGCTCTGGAGTGAGGGGCAATGATAGGGGGGGACTGGCATGGGGGGGATGCATCGACCTGGAATCGGCGATCGGCCCCCGATGGTGAATCCGAACCTACCCGTGCAGGCTGGGGCTATCGGGCCCCTATCGGCGATCAATGGGCGATTCGGTGTCGATACATCCCCCCCTTTATGCCCATCCCCCCCGATCGTTGCCCCCGATGGAAGATGTCTCGGGCGCCGCGGCCTTCTCGGAGCGTTCCGGTGCGCTCTGAAAGCGCTCTGGGACGCTCCGGAGCGGATGTATCCTCGTCGTCCTGGCCCCGTCCGACCCACCACGGGCGACGGGATCTGGGCGAAGGTGTAAGAGCTCGGTCGGACATGTCCTTGTACAGGCGGGTTTTGGGAGACAAGCGAGAAATAGTCAAACAAATCTTCAAACATGGAAAAAAATCCCCCGACAAAGAGTAATAACATAACAACATCATGTTGAATAATCCTCCTGTATAGGGACGCGCCCGACTTGTAATACAAGAGGAGGAGGAGGCGGAGAAGGAGGAGGAGGACGAGGATGAGCAGGAGGAGGAGGAGGAGGAGGTGGAGGAGGAGGAGAAAGAGGAGGAGGGGGAGGAGGAGGAGGCGGAGGCGGAGGCGGAGGAGGAGGAGGAGGAGGAGGAGGAGGAGGAGGAGGAGAAAGGGGGGGAGGAGGAGGAGGAGGAGGAGGAGGAGGAGGAGGAGGAGGAGGAGGAGGAGGAGGAGGAGGAGGAGGAGGAGGCACGCAGCACGAGGGGGGAAGGCGGAGGTGTACGCTGCAGGCAGCGGGCGGCTGCAGGCAGACAGGAGGACCCTGGGCAGCGGCGCGGTGGGGAACAGCAGGACCCTGGACAGACAGTGTGCCCTGGACAGAAGGACCCTGGACAGAGGTCCTGGACAGACAGTGTGCCCTGGACAGACAGTGTGCCCTGGAAAGAGGAACAGCAGCGACCCGAGGCAGGACCCTGGACAGAAGGACCCTGGGCAGACAGTGTGCTGAGCCCAGAGCTCCGAGATCGTTGTCACCGCTGGGATGGGCGCGGGGGGGGCTCAAGGGACAGGGGGGTCATCAGTGGACGCCGAAGGGGTTGTGCTTGGCCTAACCTGGCTAATCAGTGGGGCTACACATGGCCCAAGTGGCTCAGGGGGATTGGACGACTCCGCTGAGTGGGCGGAGCCCTCTACCCTGGATCGCTATCTCCCCCAAGCCACTTGGGGCATCAGCAACGCAATCATGAGCTAGGTTAGGCCAGATATTACCCACCTTGGCCCCGCGCCCATCCCAATGTTTCACATCGCGGACCCCGGAGATCTGGACCCGACCCCCAGCACTGGATGTTCACCCTGAGTCGTTTCTCGACGGTCTCGGAAGGCCCGCACACGGCTCGACGGTTTGCGACGAGGTGGGGCGGGAGAGTGCCCTTCGTCGACAAGCCTCAGGACTCTACAGCACGGCTCAGCCGCTCGGGGCCCTCAGTGGTGGGCGGTGGGTCGGGAATTGGATGATGTTGCGAGGCGTAACGACCAGGGGGGACTGGATCACATATGAGGAAGCGTCGACGTGGGATCGGCGATTTGTCGCTGCTAGATCGGCGATGGGCCCCTGATTGCGGGTCTGCATGGCACTGCGCGGGGCGGGTGATGGGGCCGCGCGGCACTGTGTGTGCGTGTGTGTGTGTGTGTGTGTGTGTGTGTGTGTGTGTGTGTGTGTGTGTGTGTGTGTGTGTATGTGTGTGTGTGTGTTTGTGTGTATGTGTGCGTATGGAAGCCCCAATGGCGCGATGTCAACTCGGCAGTGGACAAACCTCCCTTTCGTGAACCACCCTTGAGTGAAAACGGCCTGGGACCGAAACCAACGGACTTGGACCCGCAAAAATGACGGCCCCGACGCCCTCTCGCGAACCGAAAACGGCCAATTCGCTAATCGACGTGTAGGGTAGGAGTTCCATCAACCTCCGATCAGCGCGTGCGGCGCGACTGGGGAGTCGGCAGGCTCTCCTGCCGCGGGACCGCCACTCCGATGCAGCCTGGCTCCTCGGCCGCCCCGCAGCAGAGTCGGGGGGGGGGGGGGGCCGAGCGGTCCGGCGCCGCCCCCCAGGGGGGGGCGCGTGGCGGAAGCGGGGCTCTCCGCGGTGAGGGCCCTCCTTGTCGCTGCTGTCGCCCTGTCGCCGCCCTCGCCCGCGGCCTCGCGGGCCGCCGGCGACCCTCCTCCTCCTCCTCCTCCTCCTCCTCCTCCTCCTCCTCCTCCTCCTCCTCCTCCTCCCCCCCCTTTCTCCTCCTCCTCCTCCTCCTCCTCCTCCTCCTCCTCCTCTTGCCTCCTCCTCCTCCTCCCCGCCGCCCCCTCGCTCGTGTCCGCATGTGCGGGGCCCTGCAGCAGTCGCAGGCCTCGCGAGACGAGGGCGTCTGAGATCCTGTACTCGGGCACGCGAAGTTCTCGGGGCTGCCGCGCGTGGCCGAGGCAGTCCTGGCGTTGGAGGCCGCTCGTCTGCGCGGCGCGGGAGGCGCCAGGTGCAAGAGCGGCCGAAGGGCGGGGGAGACAATGCACAGCAGCCTTATCCCGCGAGTGTCCCCAACAGTTGCCCAGGGATGGCCCCAGGATGGCCCCGAAGAAGACCCATGATGGCTCCTCAAATTGGGCTGATGATGGCCTCAAGCTTGACCCCGGGAGGCCCCACCAATCTGGCCAGGATGGCCCCAAGGTGGCCCCAGCACCCATCGACGAGGTCTCCGGGAGGCCAACATGGTGGAAAGGCAACGCCACTCCCCTAACACAGCATCGCCAGAACAGCAGGGGGAGACGGCGGCGGACCGAATGGCATGCGCAGCTCTCTCGCGACCTGCGAGGCAGGCGGCGGCGCGCCGTCGCCGCCCCCCCCTCCCCTGCGAGAGCAGCGCCCCTCCCTCCTGGAGCTCCCGAGTGGCAAGCGCCCTCCCCACTGGCCCCCCCCCTTCCCGGGGCCCAGCCGCGCCTCCTCCTCCACTCGGGCCCGCCACGCGCAACAGGGGACGGAGGAGGAGGAGGAGGAGGAGGAGGAGGAGGAGGAGGAGGAGGAGGAGGAGGAGGAGGAGGAGGAGGAGGAGGAGGAGGGTGGGAGGGAGGAGGAGGAGGAGAGAGGAGGGAGGAGGAGGAGGAGGAGGGAGGGGGGAGGGAGGAGGGAGAGGGAAGGAGGGAGGGAAGAAGCGACCCCTGGGGGCGCGGCCTCGGGGCATCGCGCGGGGCCCCCCAGCTCCCGGCGCGGAGGCCGCCTCACGCGCCAGTGCTGCTCGGGGGGCACCGCGCTGGGCCCGCAGAACGACTCGGGCGTTGGCAGAACGACGGTTTCGTGGAGCCTGGTTTCGCGATTTGCACCGGGGGCGCCCCCCCGTCCCATCTCCACTGACCGGAGCTGCCGTCGCCCGAAAAAGCACCAGCTGCGGCAGACCTGGTCTAGTGAATCTGGCCAGTTGAGGGGCCCCAGGGCCCTGCCACTCAGCGGGTCCCCTCTCGGGGATGGACAGACCTCCCTTCAGTAAAACGTGGTCTAGTGAAAACGACCTGAAGCCCAAACCTGGCGGGCGCAGGCCTGGAAAATAACGGCCACGGCGCCCTCTCGAGAACCGGAAACGGACAATTCACTAATCGACGTGTCACTGTTGGGGGTTCTGTCCACCCCCGACCCTTACCCGGGGCCCTGGCTAAACAACCGAGTAACGAGGCTCACGACTGCGCGCGGCCGGTCAGGAGGAGGGCCAGTGGAGACAACGGCGGCCCTCCCGCTCCGCCCGACTCCGCTCAAGATCGGCAGCCCTCCAGAGGCCCATCCCGGCCCGTCCCTCGTCGGGGGGCCATCCCAGCCCATCCCAGCCCGTCCCTCGTTGATGTTGCTGATGTTGTTGATGATGATGATGATGATGATGATGATGATGATGACGATGACGATGACGATGATGACGATGACGATGACGATGACGATGACGATGATGATGATGATGATGATGATGATGATGATGATGATGATGATGATGATGATGATGATGATGATGATGATGATGATGATGATGATGATGATGGGAAAAAGCAGGCCTGCCGTCGCAGTCCATTCGCCAGGAGCTCGACTCGGGCCCTCTTTCGCGATGCTGCCGCCTCTTTTTCGCTGCTGCGGCTCTCAGGGGATCGGCGGCCAGTCGATCGCACGATCGTGCCGTGCGGCCGATGCTGGGCCGCTAGCGGCGTTCGACCTCGGATGCCCGCGGTGGGGCCGCTGCAGCGCCAGCACGCCGCGGGCCTGCCGCAGGCGCAGAAGAGCACGGGGCTTTGAATTCTAAAAGCGTGTGTGTTTTTTTGTGAAGTCCAAAAACCTTTTGTAATTCGGCAGCCGTCTTTTTAACTCGAACAACTGGTTTCAAGTTTTTCAACTCAAAAGCCGTTCTTTGGATTCAGACACCCGTTGTGTTCTGGATTCGAAAATCTGAATTCAAAAACCAGTTTCTTGAATAAACCGCCCGCATCTGGCCCACCTCCCCAAAAGGGGGAGGCCTGGTGGGGCGAAGGCGAACGCGAGGGGGCGAGTGCCAGTATCCGCAGCAGCACTATAACTTGCGGCCGCGCGCCTGGAAGGCGTTCGCGGTAGGGCGATAGCCCCTCGGATGATGACGAAAACGTTCCGGAGCCAGCAGCCCCTCAGATTTAGGTTGCTCCATCGTACTTAAAGACCACATCCCAGATATAATTTCGAGCACCTGGAAAAACGTCGAACAAATGTCGAAGCAGTGACGACATTTGGTCGAAACACGAACGCGTTTCTTTATGCTCGGCGATGACGGGCGTCGTGGGGGAGGGGGGAGGGCGGGGGGGGGGCCCCCGCCGTGTGGCTCCGGCACCACAGCCGCGCCCGCGCGCACGACGCGACGAGCGACGAGCGACGACGACGACGACGACGACGCGAGCAGCATGTAGGTGGCGATCTGCCCCATTGCGCATGTGTACGCCACAACGCTCGCGTGCACCACAACGCGCGTGTAAACCACAGCGCCTGCGTACACTGCAACAGCCGTGTGGAACGCACCGCCTGTGTACACCACAATGCTTGGGAACACTACAACGCCATTGTACATACACCGCAGCAACCATGTGCAACACAGCGCCTGTGTACACCATAGTGCTTGCGTGCACCGCGGCGCCTGTGCACGCCAAACACCCTGTGTACACCACAGCATCCGCGTGCAACGAAGCGCCGGTGTACACCACAGTGCCTGCGTGCATCAGACAGGCAGAAGGAGCATGTACGTGATGATCTGCTGCGGACAACCAAACGCTATGCCAGGACAGTTCTGATAATCGCGTGCGACGTTCTCCCCTCCTCCCTCCTCCTCTACATCCTCCCCTTCCTCCTCCTTACCCCCTGGCGTGCGGCTTGGCGCTACAGCGCACGTGCGCATTTCAGCGTGCACCGCATAATGGTCGATTGAATCGGTCCACTTGGTTCTCGGACGGCCAATTTAGCCGGAGCCTCCTGGACGCAAGTGGGAGTTAGGGTGATGCGGGCGGACTCGGGGGGACTCGTAGATTCCAGCGGCGCTCCTTTGTCTATAAGGATTAATGTTTCCATTGTTTTCTCTGGAATCCACAAACGCTCCATTTTGCCACAAGGATCCTTTTTAAAATTCTGTACACAACAGTGATGCTGTGCTGCACACGGCTGATGTGGTGCACACAGGCGCCGTGGCGTACACAGGTACTGCAATGCACCCAGGCATTGTGGTGTACACTGGTGCTGCGTTGCGCACGGCTGATGTGGTGAACGCAGGCGCTGTGGTGTACGCAGGAGCTGGTGTGCCCGCGGGCACGGTGGCACCAACTGACGCTGTGTTGCACGCGGTTGCTGTGGTGTACATGGGCGGTGTGGTGTACACAGGCGCTGTGGTGCACGCGGGCACTGTGATGTACACGTGCGTTGTGGTGCGGATCGCCACTTACATGTTAGTGCTACCCGTCCTCCGTCATTCCTCAGCATTCCCAGACGCCGCCGGCGCGAAACGTGACGTCATCGCCCCCCTCCCCCCCCCAAATGATTGCCGTCATCGGCCCGGACTAAAAAAAAACAGGCTCCAGCCGCGTCCGCGCGCACGGCGACGATGAGCGACGAGCGACGCGCCACGAGCGACGACGACGACGACGAAATCGACGACGACGACGACCACGACGACGACGACGACGATGACGACGACGACTGCGGACCAGACACCTATGCGGATTCATACGCGGACACCTGCGCGGATCCCAATGCGCACGGCGGCAGTGCCCGGAGCGCACTGGGGGGGGGGAGCGTTACGTCATGGGGGGGGGAGGAGCGGGGGCCATGACGCCAGTCATGCCCCAAGCAATAAAGAAACGGGCTCCAGTATCGAACGAGTGTCTCCCAGGGCCCGACACGTGAAAACCCTCAAGCTTCGGCACTTCCTTGGTGCTCGAAATTCTTTCTGGTGGCCAAGGCTAAAGTAGTTTGGAACATCATAATCTCATATGGGGGTGGGGAGCTTTCTTGCGCCTTCTCTGCGGGACGCCCTTGCATTCGGGAGCCGAGGCTCTTTGACCCAGCCAGGGGTGTGGGAGGGGACTGGATGCAGGTAGGGCACACGGTCGAGCCTGGGACAGAATAACATCTTTCAAGAACATGAGGCCCTCCGCCATCCGCGACAAACAGAACATCCAAGGATCCCTCCCCATCATGCACAAGAGCAGCCAACAGGCACGAAGATCACTAGGGTACCCTCCCCGAACCGACCTCGATCTGATACCTCGGTCTGACCGTACTTGTCGCGCCGTCTTTGCGAGGCATCCTCACGGTCGGGACTCAATGGGTCGAACTCCAGAAGTTTGGATCGGGCGTTGGCAGGACTGGGCCTAGTTGGACCTGGGAACGTAATGTGTGCCGGGGGACGCCCCCCTGCCTAGTCTAGTGATCCCAGTCAATGTTTTGAACTTCGGGACCCAAGCACTGACCGGCTTCCCTTCACTTTAGGTCGGGCATGTCTCCCCTACAGGCGGATTTTGGATGGAACATAAAACATAAGCAACACCCATCTCCAAAATGGTAAAGAATTGCCACACATGGTCTCCGGACTTGTTGTTTACTATTTTGGAATATGCCTCCTGTTGAAGGACACGCCCGACCTAAGCTTACCTGCGGTCCCCTTCCCCCAGACCGGCTTCCCTGAAGGGGCCCCGGGACACACAAATAAATACACACAAATAAACAGATTCCCCATATGTTCCCACATGTTGTGGGTTTCTGTCTTCCCCCCCACTTCCCATATTTTCCCATATTTTTGGGAAATCGACGATCAATTGTGTCTGTGTGTTTCTTCCCCTCCTGATTCCCGCCCCGAGCCGCCTTCTCTTGACGGCCTTGGAGCCTGGCGCGAGGGCCCCTGGGTGCCGAAAGCTGCCAGAAACACCGCCCGTCCCGATATTTCCCTGCAGCGAAAGGAGCTTGGACTTTCTCGGGAGCGGCCAAGCTCGCCATCGCTCGTGCGTCCATTCCCTGTGTTCTTTTCGGTTTCGTGCGTGTTTTTTTCGCCAAATGATCAAGGATGCTCCTCGATTGTCCTCGCCGAAGGAAAAATGCACACGTCCGAGCGATGCCAAGCAGGAGGGGGGCGTCCAAGAGGGGGCGTGCAAATCATGGCCGGCGGCATGTGCGCGGCCCAGGGGGGGGGGGGGCAGGGACGTGATGAAATAAGAAGGGGCGCCATGAAATCTAGGGAAACATCATGGCCCACGCCATGAGATCCACCCCCCCTAGTCATCACCCCCGTCATTGCCGCCCCCGACTTTCGGATCATCACTCGGGTCTCCCTCGGCCGTCCAGGACGATCTGGGCACCCCTGGAGCGCCGCCCTCTCGGCGAGTCGCAGGCTGCTGGACAGGCATCCCGAGGCTGGGAAACTGCCCGGAGCCGACGACACTGCAGGAAGGCATCGAGCCTCGAGCCCGAACCTCGAGGCCGAAGCAGGAGCAGGACGAGGGCCAGGCTCTGTGGGGGCGGAGGCACGCGTTTTGTTCAGCGTGCCACATCTCGGGCAGACCGCCGGCTTGTCATGCATCCTCGGGGACCTTGTCCGTCCCGCCGCGGCCCTGTCCGCGTAGAATCCGTGCTGAATCCATGCCAACCTCGTCGGATCCGTGTCGGATCCGTGTCGAGTCCGCGCCGGATCCGCGCCACAGGCGAGGTCCCCCGAAGATGCAACGTAAGCCGGCGTGTGCCAGCGGCCTGGAGCACTCCCCTGGCCACGGCGGCAGGGGCGTGGGCGCTGCGAGGCCCTCTGGCTGGACCGCTCACAGAGGGACCATCTGCGCAAAGGTGGCCTCCTGCGCCACACGTCGATCGTGATGGTGCGCCAGATTCTCCGGCTCGTCCTTGTCCCAGTCCTTGAGCGCGTCCTCCTCTTCCCAATCCTCCTCCTCCTCCTCCTCCTCCTCCTTCTCGTCCTCCTTCTCCTTCTCCTCCTCCTCCTCCTCCTCCTCCTCCTCCTCCTCCTCCTCCTCCTCCTCCCTCTCCTCCTCCTCCTCCCTCCTCCTCCTTCCTCCTCCTCCGCCGCTCCTCCACCTCCTCCTCCCCTCCTCCTTCCTCTCTTTCTCCTCCCCTCCTCCTCCTCCTTCAAACCTTTGGCTCCTCCCCTCCTCCTCCTCCTCCTCCTCCTCCTCCTCCTCCTACTCCTCCTCCTCCTCCTCCTCCTCCTCCCCCCTCCTCCTCCTCTTCTTCCTTCTCTTACGTCTTATTATCATCATTGTTTTTTAAGTCTTATTACATTATTATTGTTATTATTATTATGAATTTAATTATTTATAATTATTATTACTATTATTATTACTATTATTATTGTTAATTAGTATTATTATTACTACTTATCTACGATTCGCATTATTAAGTAGTCTCATTATTATTCTTATTCATCATTAATTATTTTCGTATTCTTCTTCGTCTTATTATTCTTTCCTGCCTCCTCCTCCTCCTCCTTCCTCCTCCTTCCTCCCTTCCTCCCTACGCCCTCCTCCCTCCTCCCTCCTCAAAACTCACAAATCCCTCCACCCTCCTCCTCCTCCCTCCCTACCTCCCTACCTCCCTACTCTCCATACCCTCCTGATACCCCCTCCACCTCCTCCTCCTCCTCCTCCCTCTCCTCCTCCTCCGTCTCCTCCCTCCTCCCCTTCTTCCCCATCCCCCGTCATCCCTCGTATTCCTCCCTCCTCCCTCCTCTCCGCCTCCTCCTCCTCCTTTCCTCCTCCTCCCTCCAACCTCCTGCTCATTCCCCTCCTCCTGTATCTCCTCCTCCTCCTCCTCCTCGTCTTATGTTACTTCGTCCTCTTCGTCTTCTTCTTCTTCTTCTTATTCCGTCTCCTCCTCTTCCTGCTCCTGCTCCTCATGATCCTCCACCTCGTCCTACTATTTCTCCTCTTCCTCCCCTTCCTCCTCTTCCTCCTCGTTCTCATCATCATCCTCCTCCTCCGCCCCCTCCGCCCCTTCTTCTCCCTACCTCCCTCCTCCATCCTCTCTCCTGCCTTCTCCTTCCTCTCTCCTCCCTTCTCCCTCCTCCCTCCTTCCTTCCTTTTTCTTTCTCCTCCCTCACTCCCTCCTCCCTCCTCCTCTTCCTTCCTCCCTCATCTCCCTCTCGTTCTCCTTCTCGTCCTCATGTTCGTCGACTCTGCCCCTCCTCACCCTCCTCCTCCTCCTCCTCCTCCTCCTCCTCCTCCTCCTCCTCTTCCTTCTCCTCCCCTTCCTGCTCCTCCTCCCCTTCCTCCTCCTTCTCGTCCTTCTCCTCATCCTTCTCCTCCTGCTCCTCATCCTCCTCCTCTCATGCCAACTCCTCCTTCTCCTACCAGGTCCCTACCCCCATTCATCCTTTTCCTGCTCCACCTCCTCCTGATGTTCCACCTCCTCACCTTTCACTCCTCCTCGACCTCCTAGTCCGCTCTCATCGCGGTCGATCTGATTCGTACTCCACACTCGTACCCCTCCCTCCTCATCCCTGTTCTCTCTGGCGTATCAAGAGGAACTGCGCGAGACCACCTAGGAAGTTCAGGAATGAAGCATGGTCCCACATCTTCAGAGGCATCCACCCTGGAAGGAAACATGATAGGATTGCACCATACAGGATACCTAATTCATACATGGCTACTGCTGGTGTCGATGCTGTCGCCACGACGCGCACACTTTAAGACATCAAATCGGCGGATAGCTTCACCGTGCATGCTGGCCGTGCTGACTGGTTTTGGGGTGGCCGTCTTGGCTGCTCCTCCCCTCCTTCCTACTCCCCCTCCTCCTCCTCCTCCTCCTCCTCCTCCTCCTCCTCCTCCTCCTCCTCCTCTTCCTCCTCCTCCTGAGTCACCACGGCTTAGGCGATCAATGCCCGTAGCGCATCATCCTCCTCATCCTCCCTCACCTCAGCGCGAAAGGTGCTGGCAAAACACCTGGGCTCTGGAGGGAAAGCTGCGTCTTATCTGACGTCCTATCCTTTCCTCCCGTCCCTTACCACGGCGCAGATCTCCTCTCTATTCGCACAGTCGGATATCGTAGCATGGCGTAGCATTACATGGCATAAAATAGCGTTGAAGATCAACGCGTAGCATGTCATAGCATGGCATGGCACCGCGTAGTCCAACACTGCCTCGCTGGAATCCCGTGTAAACAACAATACGCGGAAGGGACCCAACATCTTCCGGACACAGTCAGGGGAGAGAGGAGAGTAGTATTCATATTGAGTGAGTGTTGAGGACGGGAGGGGGAGAGGAGGGGGGGGAGGGGGGGGGGAGGGGGGGAGGAGGGGGGGGGGGAGAGTAGGGGAGGGGGGAGAGGCGGAAAGGGACAGAGGAGGGGGAGGCAGGGGTGGGGAAGGAATGGGGTGGAGAAGGGGGGCAGGCGGGGATGGAGGCCGGGGGGGCGGGGGACGCTCCTTGCGCCCCTGGTGCCCAGGACGCACCTGGTGCACCTGACCCTCCTGGTGCTCCTGACGCCAGGTCGAGTAGGGGATCGACCACAGAATTGACTTACTCCTGAAATGATTTGTTCGTCGGTCGAACCTGCGAAGTATACGCCAACTGCTCCGTCGAGTACTCGACGCACTCGTTCGCAGATTTGACGGGAAATTAGTTCTGGGGTAAATCAATTCTGTAGTCGATGCCCACTCGATCAGGAGCTCCAGGAGCTTCCTACAGGCAGATTTCCCCTGAAATGGTTTACTCCACCCTTGATTTGTTCGTGGAGCATGCGAAGAACACGTCGAATGCTCCGTAGACCACCCCCGTAGTCGTTCGTGGATTCGACGGGCAGTCTTATTGTGGGGCTAGTCGATTCTGCAGTCGATTCCCTGCTCGATCATGAGCTCCCTCCTCCCTCCTCCCTCCTCCCTCCTCCTTCCTCCTTCCTCCCTCCTCCTCCTTCTCCTCCTCCTCCTCCTCCTCTTCCTCCTCTTTCTCCTCCTCCTCCTCCTCCTCCTCCTCCTCCTCCATCTCCTCCTCCTCCTCCTCTCCTCTCCCTCCTCCTCCTCCTTCCTCCTCCCTCCTCTGCCTCCTGCTCCTCCTCCTCCTCCTCCTCCCTGGATCCTCTGCCTCCTCCTCCTCCTCCCGTCCTCATGGTCCCTCCTCCCTTCCTCCTTCTCCTCCTCCTCCTGCTCCTCGTCCCTCCTTCCCGTCGTCCTCCTCCTCCTCCTCCCGCCTCCTCTCCTCCTTCTCCTCCTCCCCTCCTCCTGCTCCTCGTCCCTCATTCTTCGTCCGTCGTCGCTTCTCCTCCTCCTCCTCCTCCTCCTCCTCCTCCTCCCCTTCCCTCCTCCATCCTCCATCCTCCATCCTCCTCCTCCTCCTCCTCCTCCTCCTCCTCCTCCTCCTCCTCCTCCTCCCTCCTCCCTCCTCCCTCCTCCCTCCTCCCTCCTCGCTCCTCGCTCCTCGCTCCTCGCTCCTCGCTCCTCGCTCCTCGCTCCTCGCTCCTCGCTCCTCGCTCCTAATCCTCCCTCTTCTCCTCCTCCTCCTCCTCCTCCTCCTCCTCCTCCTCCTCCTCCTCCTCCCTCCTCCTTCTCCAGAGCGTCGGCGGCTCGTTCTCTCGGGCGCCCTCTGCGCCGGCTCTCTCTGCATTGCTCCGCGGGCGCGAGGTGCGCGCGCGTGAGGGGGCGGCTGCGCAGGGATCTCCCGCGAGGACATCGCGGAGCAGGGGGAGGAGGAGGGGGAGGAGGAGGAGGAGAAGGAGAGGAGGAGGAGGAGGAGGAGGGGAGGAGGGAGGCGGAGCAGGAAGGAGGATATGAGGGAAGGACGAGGATGAGATGAGGAGAAGGGAGCCAGGAGAGGAGGAGGAGGGGAGGAGGAGGCGGAGCAGGCGAGCAGGAGGAGCAGGAAGTGCATGAGAAGCATGAGGAGAGAGAGGAGGAGGAGGGGGAGGCGGTGGAGGAGGAGGAGAAGGAGGAGGAGGAGGAGGAGGGGAAGGAGGAGGAGGAGGAGAAGGAGGAGGAGATGGAGGAGAAGGAGGAGAGGGGGGGGGGCCACAAAGACAGGCCCGCCATCGGCATGGGCAGAGAAGCGGCTCGCGCCGCTGCCTCTCACGGCGCCTCCCAGCGCCAAGGGAGCGCTCGTGTTGGAGGCCTCCTAGATTTTCGTCGGGCCTGTCCCTCTACAGGGGGAATATTCAAGCATAGTTCTAAACATAGTCGGGGACCATGTTTTTTGTTATAAAAGATTAGACTATGTTTGAACAGTTGTTTGAACATGTCTAATATTGTCGCCCAATATCAACTTGTAAGGGAACATGCCCGACCTAATCCTAGATGGGGTCCGAGCTGATGGGGTCGGAAGATCGCCAATGCATCGTCGATGCATCGGCGAAGGTCGGCGATGCATCGAAGACGTCGGCGGTGGGGAAGCACGGGCTCCACATCGAGCCGCATCGCCGGTGCATCGGCGATGCGACGCGATCCTCCGACCCCATCTACTGGGACCCCACCTGGGAGGCCTAGATTCACGGCGCCTCCCGGCGCCAAGGGAGCGCCCATGTGTATGTCGAGGAGTGGGCCCGGCGGCGGGGCAGAAACCAGCTGCATGCAGCAGATTTCGTCACTGGTCGGTCGGTCGGAAGAAGTGGGCAGAATCATGGAGCAGGAAGGCGTTGAGAGTAGCTTGGGCTTCCGCCCGCCACATGACGAGGGAAAAAGGAACACCGCTCGACTCTTGAATTAGGAAGGCGCCTAAAGCAATTTGGGATCTGGGGATCAAGGAAATACCTACCTTCAACGACCGGCGTGTAACCCCCTTTCCCTATACTGGGAAAGCCAATCGGTACTGATACCGATACTCCCCGAACCTCTGCCGCGGTGCGTTCTGACCATGATTTTGCAGCGGTGGCGACGAGAGCCTCCCAGGAGGCCCAAGGAGGGAAAACTCACGAAGAGTAGCGGTATGGTGAAAACGGCCTGGGACCGAAACCGACGGACCTGGACCCGCAAAAAGAACGGCCGTGACGCCCCCTCGGGAACCGATAACGGCCAATTCACCAATCGACGTGTCAGGGTACATTCGGGCCGCTGAAAGAAGGAACGCTAAATAAGGAACGTAGCCCCTTCTTTGACCCCAAACCCGCCTGCTTGGAAGAGGAACGCTGGAAAAATAGCCATGGACAGACCTACTAAATGTATAAGGAACGTCGAGCCCCTTCCCGACCCGAACGGCTCCTTATCTCAGCGTCTTGGCTGCAGGAGATGCCTATCAAACTCCGATGTCCCTCCTCCGGTCTGGCGGAGGAGGAGGAGGAGGAGGAGGAGGGGGAGGAGGAGAAGGAGGAGGAGGAGGAGGAGGAGGAGAAGGAGAAGGGGATGGAGGAGGAGGAGGAGGAGGAGGAGGGGCAGGAGAAGATGGAGGAGGAGGAGGAGGAGGAGGAGGAGGAAGGAGGGGAGGAGAGGAGGAGATGAGGAGGAGGAGGAGAGTGAAGGAGAGGGGGGGAGGGGGTTGGTAGGAGGGGGAAGAGGAGAAAGTGAGAGTAGTATGAGGAGTATGACGACGGAAGGTGTAGGACGATGATAGCAGGAGGAATGCTTAAGGGTGTGAGGAGGGGGAGGAGGACAGCTAGTTGTCTCGCTCTCTGCGTCATATCTGACGTCCTACCCCTCCCTCCCATCCCTTACCATTGCGCTGATTTTCTCTATCCGCGGACGCGTGTCGTAGCGGACCTGTGGCTCCGCGCGCGCGTGCGTAGTGGGTGGTGGTGCGCGTGCGTGCGTGCGTGCGTGTGTGCGTGGTGGTGGTGGTGGTGGTGGTGGTGGTGGTGGTGGTGGTGGTGGTGGTGGTGGTGGTGGTGCTGGTGGTGGTGGTGGTGGTGGTGGTGGTGGTGGTGGTGGTGGTGGTGGTGGTGGTGGTGGTGTGTGTGTGTGCGTGTGTGCGCGTGTGCTGTGGCATGGCACGGGAAATGACGCCAGCGCTGCAGCGGGAGCACGAGTCGAAACGGGCGGAAGCGCGGAAATGAGGCAGCGCTGCAGCGGGAGCACGATTCGGAACGAGCGGAAGCACGGAAATGAGGCCAGCGCTGCAGCGGGAGCACGATTCGGAACGAGCGGGGCCCGAAAATATGAAGGCCCACCCGGCGCCTCAGCGATAGCGAGAGCAAACAAAAACAGAAGCATTTCTGGCAGACAAAAAACAAAACATGCAGGTGAAAACCCAACTCCCGGGAATCACATCCCCTGTAGTAAAAAAATTGGTATAACGCAGTACGCGGGGGGGGGGGGTCGGCTTACTTTCCCCAGCACGCCATCAGGGGAAGAGGAGAGCAGTATTCGTATTGAGTAGTTGTGGGGGAAGATGGAGGATGAGAAGGAGGCGGAAGAGGAGGAGGAGGAGGAGGCCTATCAAACTGCCGTCCGATACCGGAAAGAACCGGAGCCTGCCGAGGGCGGGCGGGGACGGCGGCGAGGCGCGGCCAGCGGGGCCGGCACGCGCGCTCCCGGCCCGAGGAGGAGGAGGAAGAAGAAGGGAGGAGGAGGAAGAGGGAGGGAGGAATGGGAGTGAGGATTGGGAGGGAGGAGGGAGGGGAGGAAGAGGGAAGAGGAGGATGAGGAGGAGGAGGAGGAGGAGGATGAAGAAGGAGAGGAGGAGGAGGAGGAGGAGGAAGAGAAGGAGGAGGAGGAGGGAGGAGGAGGAGGAGGAGGAGGAGGAGGAGGATTCTTGCACGCGGAGCAGGCCCGAGGGCGGCGGGGGACGTCGCGCAGGGAGCAGCTGCATGACCCATCGGTCGAGAGAAGCAGGCAGAGACATGCAGTAGGAAGGCGCTGAGGATAGATTGGGTTCCCGCCCGCCTCCTGAAGGAGGAGGGAAGAGGGAGAACGCCTCGACTCTTGAAGTGGGAAGGCGCTGAAAGCAGATTGGAATCTGGGAATCCCAAATACCTACTCTCATCGACCGATGGGTAACACTGAAGGGAACCAATGGTTCGGCACACCAAGAAGTGAGCGTTTTCTGGTTCGGCGTCTCGCAACGGCGTCTCGCAACTTGGCGCAAGGGGGGGAGGGAGGCCTGGCTCTAGACCTCTCTGCTTAGCGCGACTGTTTGCAACATGCGGCCTATGGGGGAACCTCCACCTGCTCGAAACAAGCGCCCAAAAGCAGCCAATATTCAGCCAAGATGAACTCCAGGGGGGGGATGGGGGGGGCGACGGCCCACGCCGATCAGCAAAACAATCAATACAAAATGATCACTAAATGGACACGAATCCCAGTAGTCCCCCATTTGTTTCATATGTTATGGATGTCCGTCTCCGCCTCCACTTCCCACGTGGTCTGAATTGTCCGAGGAATCGGCGACTAGTTGTGTCTGTGATTGTTTGGGGCGCACAGGGACATGTTAATATGAGATGTCCTCCTTGGAGGAGCGCGTCCAACCCGATCATATAGTATACCCGTCTTGTGGTACACCGTTGACCGAGCGGTGTGGCCAGAAAGCGCCCGCCGCGACGCATATTTCTCGGTGCGCGCGTCGCCCCTGTGGGAAGCGACGCACAGATGGTTGAAGGGGCCCCGGGACACACAAATAAATACAAACACATAACAGGATTCCCAAAATGTTTCCCTACCTAGGCTCTGCCTAGAAGGGTTCTTACTCGGTATGCTTAAAGCGCCGGGCAGTGTAACCCGCCCCAGGCGGTTCCCCCAGTTACGTCCCCTTAGCTTAGCGTTGCTTATCTCATCTTAGCTTAGCTTAGGTTCATCTTAGCTCAGGTTTATCTTAGCCAGCTTCCCTTGAGCATAAGCAAACGAAAGCACCAGCAACAAAAACAAAACAAACAGCAACACCAAACGCAAAGACACACATGAAAAACAACACAAAAAGCAAGACACTGCAAAACAACAACACCACTACGAAAGTGCAGATGTAGACGTAGATGTAGTTGTAGGTGTAGATGTTGATGTAGACGTAGGTGTACATATAGGTGTAGATGTAGATGTCGATGTGAGTTTCGCTGGTGATGTTGATGTGGATGTAGATGCAGGTGTAGATGTTGATGTAGCTTTCAGTTTAGATATAGATGTTGCTTTCTTAGATCCTCCAACTCCTAGGTAGTGTCGCACTGGGATAATTCCATATGTTCTATGTTTTTGTCTTCCCCCCACTTCCCATATTTTCTACAAATTCCTGGGAATCGACGATTCATTGTGTCTGTGTTTTTCCCCTCCCGAATGGTATCAGTATGTGGGGGGACGCCGAATTTTCCTTCCTGAGACATACAGCTTCGAAGCAAAGAGCTGCCCCTCCCTGGCGAGCCGAGCGTGCCAGAGGCGGCGCGGGGGGGACCGCCTAAAGGGATCCCAGCGCCGCTCCCGCACAAGAATCCGCACGGGCTCTCGAAAGTTAGGCTGATGCAATGCTTCTTCTTCCGCGGGAGGAGGAGGGACGAGGAGGAGGGATGAGGAGGAGGGATGAGGAGAAGAGCTGAGGAGGATGAGGAGAAGAAGGAGGAGGGAGGCAGGAGCTGAGAGAAGGAGAAAGGAGAAGGAGGAAGATAATCATCATGAGGAGGAGGAGAAGGAGTAGGAGTAGGAGGAGAAGGAGGAGGAGGAGGAGGAGGAGGAGGAGGGAGGAGGAGGAGGGAGGAGGAGTGGGGTGAAAGAGGAATGAGAGGAGGGTAGAGGATGAGGAGGAGGGAAGGAAGGAGGAGGAGGAGGAGGAAGAGGGCGATGCCACAAGCTTGCCCTTCAGGTCCGACTAACGTCGAAGGGAAGGAGGAGGAGGAGGAGGCGCGCAAGCCGCGCGCTCCCACCTCCCCAGGAAGGGCGCCAGGCCGCGCACTCACCCCGGTGCCGCTGGGGCACCGCGCGCGGCCCCCAGCTCCGCCTGGAGGCGCGCGACCGTCTGCTTCAGGGACGCGATCTCCGCGTCCCTCTCCTGGGCAAACAGAAATGGCATACGCTTAGGTCGGCCTCCACCGTCGGACCGTCGAAAGTCTGTGGTCATGCCGGTGTTTCTTCTCCCATCTCCTCGAGGCGCCGCTGCAGCGCCACCGTGGACGTCGAGCGCCTGGTCACCTAAGATCGGCGGCGCGCCCAGGGGGGAGAGCGAGAGGCAGAAGGCCTCCTCGGAAGGCAGAGAGCGGCTTCTCAGAAGCTTGGCCTTCTGAGCAGTTCTCTGCGTCGCCGGGGAAGGCTCAGAGAACTCCTCAGGAGGCCCGAGGCCTCCCGAGGCTTCTGGGACGGCCTATCCCCTCTCACTCCTCCTCCTCCTCCTCCTCCTCCTCCTCCTCCTCCTCCTCCTCCTCCTCCTCCTCCTCTCCTCCTCCTCGCCTCCTCTCCTCCTCTCCTCATCTCCTCCTCCCTCCTCCCTCCTCCTAAAAGCAACATGAACTCGTGAAACATCACGACTGGCAGCTCCGCGCGGGTCTTTCGGATCGGCGCACGGGCCCCCCTGGTGGCGCCAACAGCGCCACCCCTGGCGTGCGGAGCGCGCCAGGGAGGGAAGGGGGGAAGGAGCAGCGAGAGATCCTGACCCCCAAATCAAGCGTTCATG